GGGACATGGTTAATATACAGGTTAAATAAAATGAAGCCAGTAAACATTCTTGTCTGAAGCCTTTAATGCAACTACCTTTCTCTGTTGGGTACAATGTGTTCCTCTGCATCCCCTTAGGCATGAGTTTGGTTCCTTGATTAAAGAGAGGAGTCTGAGATCCATGCTCAGGTCTATAAGTTTCCCTGTTCACTGAATCAAATGTTGTAATGAGGTCTATGAAAGCTGTAAACAATTGGCTCCCTTAAGCCGTGTATTTTTCTCTTAGATGACATAAAACAGTTATCAATAGTGGAGCTCCCAGACCTAAATCCAGTTTGCTCTTCAGGTAACAAGCCTTTTTCAATTTCCCAGTCCTCAAATTGTATCTTTTATGCAAACGATATTTGACATACAATTTTGTTATGATATCAATTAGACTAATCAGTCTATAATTTGAGGGATTACCCTTGTCGCCCTTTTTATCAATGGTGACCACAATAGAGAGCTCCCAAGCAGCTGGAATTTGGCAGTAATTATGAGTAAATAAGCCTGCAAGTAAGGGAGCCCACCAGTCAATGTGACATTTGAATAATTCAGGGTGTAGATCTTCCCAGGAGTCTGAATCTGAATGAGTCCTCTAGTCTCCTGTTCAGGCACCAGAGACCAGGGTGGGGTGGGATTACAGGCCTCTTGTAGATCATTTTGTGGCTCCTGTAATCCATTACAATTTGGGGCAGTGAATAATTGGCTATAACATTCATCCCACATGGAGGCAGGTACTGGGATGTCCAAGAAAAGCCTTGCTTGCAAGATTCTTTCCACCTGTCAGGCTGAGAGTTAACAGGTCTTGTTTAAAGAGTGTAAACTAATGTGTTAACAATTTGCAATCTTCTAGACTTCCTATTGTCCATTGTACAGAAGCAAAACTATTGTAAAATCTACTGAATTTTGGAATTTATTTTTGGAAACTGTCCTTCTAAAATCAGAAAGAATATACAGAAGAACATGAGGTAGAACACAAATAAAAGAGAGGATTGTGTTAGGGTTAGGGTTAGGGTAAAGACAAATCAGGTAAATTACTGGTTTTAATAATGTTCAGCCCACTTCACAAGTAGTGTAGACCATTCCAGCTTTAATTGCTCCTTCTTCTTGTACATGTTTTCTCTCTCTCTCTCTCTCTCTCTCTCTCTCTCTCTCTCTCTCTCTCTCTCTCTCTCTCTCTCCCTCTCCCTCTCCCTCTCCCTCTCCCTCTCCCTCTCTCTCCATTACAGTTCAAGACCAGTGCAAAAATAAGTTACAATAATCTTATATTTATGTTAGCATCAAGTAGGAGGATATCCTTTGACTATGCTTTGGTCATGTTTTGCCTGGATTTCTGCATTTTCCCCCTTATCTGTCTTGTCACATCTCTATCATCATTTGATAATCTTCCTTAAACTTTTATATCCCGTTTTTATTTGCCAAAGCCCTGATAGTCTTGTCTTTTTTTTAACTGTACATCCTTATCTATTGTCCTTATTCAAGTTTCATCGCTTTCTCGCTTCTTAAGGAGTCTGGATATTTTTCCCGGTTGACCGACATGCTTAGAACTTGTTAAGAGTGCAACATTCTTCCTTAGAATCCACAATTCCTGAACAGACCTTGGCACCATTTTTCAGCTTTCCTAGTTTTTCTACAACTTGGCCTCTCAATAAATGTATTATAAACACCCACAATTGATGTCCTGGCCAACATTAGCCAAATGTTGCAAGAAGTAAGACTCTTTACTTCTTTTGGTTCTTTCCTCTTTGTGAAAATTTAAATCCCAAGCAGTTCAGGAAAGGGATTTATTATTGTTTTGTACATTGTACATGATGTTGGTATTCTATAGGAATTATAATGCACAAAGAACTTGTCTTCAACAAGCAGGATAAGAAATCAGAGCAAAGTTAGCTCTCTGAACTGGCTGGAAAGAAATCTGGTGGAAAAGCTGAAGAAATAAAAGGCACACCATACCAAGCTACCAGAAATCTGACTGGGTATAACCCTTTCCCCACCTGTGTTTGGCAAGAATGAGCATAAGTAAGATATTGATGAGATGTGACAAGGCAAGGAAAAAGGGAAGATGAGAGAAATAATGAGGACTGGATGAGAAAAACAGCATAGGAAATAATGAGGGAAATATAGGAAAAAGGATATTTAAGTCTTTCTTCCCAGTGGCACAGTGTTAGGGACTTCAGTAGTAAACTTTTCCTTAAGTCTGTTTTAGTTCCTGATGAATATATGGACATGTCCACAATATGGAATTTACCACTGATTTGTCATTGCCTTTACTATTTATTTATTTATTTGGCTAGTCTACATCCCTGTGATTTCCTGGTGGTGTCCTGTTCAAGTGATAATCCAACTTAGCCTTTTGAAAACAGTTGTAACTGGCTAGATGCTACCACCTGCTTTGATTCAATTGAGTCGGAGAGGAGAAATTTAGATTTAAATTACTGGCTTCAAAATACAGTAAGGTGAGTCTGCAGCATCTGGCATTTTTCCTACTCATTCTGCTATATAAGAGCCTGATATTCTGTCCAAATCTTGTCCCAATATTTCTCCCATTGTGGATGCCCTACCATGGTTATACATTTTCATGGACTATCATTCAGAATTGTATAATTTCTAGTCAAATTGTTTTTCAGAACTACCTGCTAACAGCTTTCATTTGGAATAATTCCAGAATTTTCTTGTTTGCCACTTTTCTCTGTGTCTGAAATCTTGGCAGCATCAGTCAAGGGACTGTGATGGTGAGGCAGCCCTGATGGCAATCTCATGGTCCAGGAAGCCAGGCAGGCACAGAAGGAGCCCTCAATAAATCTTAACTGTATTTCTGATTCTCAACACACATTCAGTGTGTGATACTAAGCCAATCACACATAGCACCACATTTTCTAAAAAGGAGAGTGCTCCCAGCTGGAACCAGATGTCCAAAAGTGATTGGTATGTTGGGTGTTAAGCTCTTGAAAATCTAGTCTAAGTGGCTTGATAGAAGCTGCTGGCTGGCTCATTTTTGAAAGCTGAAGTCCCGACAAAAGGTCAGTCTTGGAAAGAATGTGCTGCCTATTTTTTAATCTGATCCTTACCTTCTGTACTGTCAAGAGAAAATAAAGTCCAAATATGTCCATGATGAGGGGAATGTTTTTATCTTCTGCCCAGCATATATGTATGTATGTATGTATGTATGTACGTACGTATGTATGTAAACCATTTTTTTGGTCCTATATCCCATCAAGATTATTCTGGACAATGTACAAATGAAAAACCAAAAAACTCAATAACATAGTTCATAATATCAGTATTCCAAAAGTAGTACTATTCCAAAAGAGTCCTGCTCTAAAGTAGAGTTTCTTAAACATTTACTTTCAGGACACCTTTCCACTTTTAAAAATTTTGGAGGACCCCAAAAGAGCTTTTGTTTGTTTGAGTAGTATTTATCAATATTTACCACATGAAAAATTAAATTGATGCATTCGCTTCTCATGACTATTTGATTGGATTTTAATATTGTATTATTTTTCATCATAGGCTGGCAAATAATTTTGATTTTTGATGAAAGAATCTGGGGATCGCCAGGGGTCTTAGGACTACACTTTAGGAAACAGGATCCCTCTAAAAGATCCCTGGGGTCAAAAAACCATTCATATTCCAATTACTAAGACAATGCAATCAGATAAGGAGGGGTCCTTAATCTCCCCACCCAAATGCTTGTGGGAATATCTGGATCTTTAACACCATGCAAAAGGCCCATAGGAACCGTCCAAGCAAAAGTGGTCCACAAGACAGGTGACAGAGAAGTGGTTTATTTTAAAATGTAACATCATCTGCTTTAAGATATATTTAAAATAGGGCAAAACATTCCTCAATGTCAGGGTTAAAAGGCAGATTTTGTTTGTTTACTGCGAATGTTTCCAACTCTATGGGGCCTCTGCTCCCGATGCCCACTGATTGCATTTGCCAAATCTGGTAGAAATGGGGCTCCTTTCTTCCCTGGTGCCAGCTGACAAGTATCAAGTCATCCAATCATGTTTAGCCTTCAGCAAGCCTCTCCCCAGTTCTTTCCTTAAAGAGATTTAAAACAGCCATAACTTTCCAAATCAATGCCAGCCTATAAAATTGACTGCCTGGATGAATATAGATTGGTCTGTTCAGTTGAATTAGAACTTTCTGCCAACCCTGAAGCAAAATACCTTTGCACTGCAGTACTCTTCTGTTTCTAAATGAAAACACTGCCTCCCTGTCCTACAGCTGGCTCCCATTTGTTCCATTGCGTAAAGAATTAACTGTAGATCCTGAACAGGATGGAGGGGAGTGGGAGATGATGTTTACATTTCACAGTTCTTTCCAGCTATTCCCCACCACAGAATTTCCCAGAGGGTGTAGTATACACTGTTATATAATCCAGCCTGATTTGGCTTTCTCTGCTCAGATCAAAAGCAGGATGTCCAGGTAATTAGAGATTGGTTACGCTGGTAAGCATTCTTAGACATCTTTAATCGTGTTAAGGGATTACCTACTGATCCTACAGCTCTATCATACATTAAACATCAAGGTCAGTGACAATTACAGAAGCAACTCAGCAGAAACACAGCATTGTTGAATGTTGTTTAAAAGAAATAGAAGCTAAGTTATTCCTGAATTTCTAAATTCTTCTCTGAGGCACAGCTATGGAACAGGAATATGACTCTGGACTGAGATATGATGATCTCTCCAGAATTTGCCACCAACATGTTAGTAAGAATATAAACAAAATTTTAGAAATCAAGTCTCTTTCCTGTGAATTATCTAGATACAACTGCAGTACAATACTCGTTATAAATATAGATAGAACAAAACGGATCAATTAGAAATGGATAATTAAGTTAAATGTGTTCAAATTACCTCACATCCTGAAACAATCAGTATTCAAATGTACAAAAAAAATGAGGATAGTTTAATTGAAAATGTTAACGGTTTACTTGTAGCAGTGAGAAGGGAAGAAAAACTTTGTGTAATACCTGTGAAACTCTGGTTGCCTCTGCCAAGAACTTCTTCATTTCTTTCTCTGTATGTACTACATTCATTGCTGAACCGCTAATGAGAAAGATAAAAGAAAACAGTTTTAGATTCAAAAACTTCTTGTATCTAAGGATCTGAAAAGCTGAAAGAATTGTTCTCCAAAAGAAAGCAGTATTATTCCTTATTTACCACTAACATGAGAATGGGCCTAAGAACACGCCAAAGGAGTAAAAAAAAAAAAGGGGGGGGGTCTAGATTAATAATCAGGAGCTGTGAACCATTCTGCTGTATAGGAGATATTCTAGAACAGGGTTTCTCAGCCGTGCTGGAGAATTCTGGGAGCTGAAATTCACATATCCTAAAGTTGCCAAGTTTGAGAAACACTTCCCTAGCAAAACGTCTTTATTCAGTCTTTTCAAACACAACTTGATGTTTGCCAGAAATGCTTCTTTGTAAAATATGGTCTAACTTAACGGCACTGAGTCTTTGTGACCGGTTTACATAAGATCTGGTCAATGCAATTTTAAAATAATTGTGCTATTAAAATTTAACACCAAAATAAATTATCATAGTTATGCCAACACATTTTTGTATTCGACATTTTGTCAGCTGGAGTGCATGATGAGATGATTCTGAAAAACCATGGAAAATAGTTAGACAGATAACTCACAAGCCAAATAAACCATTTGCATAGTTGTTTTGTCATTTTAAAAAAGAAATAGATGCTGAAATGTACAGACTTCAGAAGAAAAAAATATGTATCCCTCAAAAAGTAAGAAAAAAGTTGTCCTGGGCTCAGATGAATTTTCCCCTTTTAAAATTGTAAGACCTATGTTAATGTTTGGTGACAAAAAAAGTCAGAAGGAATCTGGTAGCATCTTTTCTAACAAACTTTATTAAAAGGCATAACCTTTTGTGCATCTGAAGCAACTGATGAAGTCAGCTGTGGCTCACAAATAATTATGTCTTTTAATAAAATTTGTTGGTGGGAAAATGTGTTCCCAGTTTCCTTCTAAATCATTGGGGGGGGGAAATACAAGGAAAAATCTCACTGGAATCAACTATGCAAACAAAAAGCACATTTAATTCTCGCTGCTGATCATTGACTTCAAGACAACAAATTCAACTGTCTGATTGATCCATGGAACACTTTTTCTGCTAAGAAAGACTGCCATTCAAAACAAATTTGGCATTGCAGATACGTTTTGTTTACCCAGCTATTACTTTGCAGCCTGTGCATAATTTTGACCCCTGTTGAAAGTAATATTTTATACAATGCTTATAAGAATATAGAAACTTGTTATTTAAATCCAGTTGGAGTCCAACTGGAAATAATAGTTTCAATTCCAGTTAAAATTAGGTTAAAGGTACATGTCAAATGAGAGCCAGTTTGGTGTAGTGGTTAAGGCATCAAAGCTAGAAACCAGGAGACAGTGTATTCTAGTCCCGCCTTAGGTACAAAGCCACCTTGAGCCAATCACTTTCTTTCAGCCTTAGGAAGTAGACAATGGCAAGCCACTTCTGAAGAACCTTGCTAAGAAAACTGCAAGGACTTGTCCAGATAGTTTCCGAGAATTGAACACAATTGAACAGGAGGGGGGGGGAAGGTTTTAAATATCTTTGTGAAGATAAGAATTTATTTTCAAAACAATTTTAAATAATCTATAGATTAAACTTTTCCATTTTAGGAATAATTGGACTGCTTTAAAAATCCAGTTTAAAAATGGGGTTGATTGATTTTTTTAATGTTAATTCATAGTTAATTGAATGCACATATCCTTATAGTGTCTAGCTACCCTATAATATAAATGCCTTTTTCTGCTTAAATATTCTTTCTGCTTCATTCAGTGTCCGGGTTGCCTCCATCAGACTGATAGTTCCCTTTTCTTATTGGAAAGCTTCAACTCAGTTTCCATTTGCACTTGCAAAATGTGCTCAGTAAATTCTATTTCTCTTCCAATCCTCTCATCTATGAATAAGCTCTTCGCTGCATTAAGCTTTCGAGAGGGATATTTAGAATATTCCTGCACATTGATTCAACTCATTGCCACTGCCTCTCTTTGTTTTTGTCAGCTATGTCTTGGAAATAAAGCAGCTACCACAGCATGTATTGGACAGAAAATAGTAATGGGGGTGGGGGGCATTTTCACATAGAAGCGCCTAACTCAAAATATTGTCAACATGATGTAAATATACTTGTCTCTAAGAGGCAGTAAGAAATGAAAGTGGAAAGATGAGGGTTGAGAGTATGAACATTCTTAGGGCTTATTTCAAAGATATCATCATTCACAGGGTTTTTTTTTTCCTTCCCTCTTCACTTTTTTATGAGTTAATAACATGCTATGATAAATTACCAGAATGCTGAAGACTGCTGACATTTAAAGGTAATTCTTCAGGATTCAAGTTCTTCCAAGTGTCAGGAAGTCTGTTTTGACATTTATCTGCCTAGTTTTGAATGTGGCTAATCACTCAACAGTCTTTTGTGGTCCTATCCATGCATATTCACTGTCAGATGGGAAATAGGAAGAGCAAGGCCAGTCAAATTGGTGACTCATGCTGGGGACAAACATTCAGCATATAATCTTCAGATTCTGAACTTTGAAAGAGTTCCTTTCTACTATTCTTTAGAGTAGCTTCCATTTTTAGGCTTCCGTGAGATCTTAAAAAAAAAAAGAGATGCTACAGTGTGAACAGCTCCATTAAGACTGGTTAGATGACTCCTTATTGCAGCAGCATCTTTTTTTTTCAGACTTAGATTTTTATTTGGGAAACATCCTAGACTAGAAAATTATGGAAACCAAGATTGTTTTTTTAAAAAAATAAAATAAAATTGGAATGATATTTTACATTATTGAAAGTCATCTAGACGCATTTATATTAACCAGAATATGCCAGATCTCTGTGATATATTTTTCTGATTTATTTAGAGTTTTAAACCTTATGGATGGTTATCAGTTTCATTATTTATTTATTTTTACCCTTATTGCAGGTTCTGTTTGGGGCATCTGAAAATGGGAACTTCATGTCAATCTCTAAAGATTGTCCGCATGGGTCGGGGCCCAACACAAACTGTGATTTGAGTCTTCTGTGGATTAGCATGGGAAAAACACAAACTGCCAAGTATTTTTGTAAGAACAAAATGGGATTAAATGTACAGAAAGCATAAACCCTTTTGACAAGGGAGAAAGAGCAGTAAAAAAAGTCACAATGGAGGCCCCAACAATATGATCCAAGCCTCTCCCCTTACATCGCTTGCAATGCACATTAAGAATGGCAAAGTGCTGCTCATATGGTTGTGGCTGCCTTCTTGAACTTTTTGACCCCCTACTGCCCCCCCCCAGCCTCCTGAAAAGATAAAGAGTGCCCAGTTTGAAAAAAACAGGTACAGAAGTTTTGGAATCTTGTTTAAATTCTGGTTTCCTCATGGTTAAATATTGTCTATAAATGTGTTGCATTTAAAACTACACAGCATCTGCCTCTCCTCTGGAAATAACCCTGCTAATTTCAGATCACAAGGATGAAACTTATGCAAAAAAAAAAAAAAGTCTTACAAATTGGATGACAAAGAGGATTGGTTAGACAGCAATGTCAGTGAAATCTGCAATCTCCGTTAAGGCATCCTTTTTCTTTTTCTTTTCTTTTTTTTCTTTTCACAACTTACAAAAAAGATGTATTATTGTAAGACATCTGCCATTTTTGCTTTGGGTATTGTTCCTAAAACAGCATCACAGATGATCCCTTGCAGGAAATAGTTTGATTTGGAAACCATGTATAAAATCTACTCGTGATTTCCATGGCCGTTTCAAATGGCACTGCAAATTGTCATTTAGTGTGCTTCTTTATATCATATCACTGTAGGCAAATATTGTCTCCAAAACAGTAATTGGGAAGCCCTTGAAGATTCCTTCTATACAATTAGAAAGTAGATTTGTTAGTCATTTGAATCCACTCTTTTTTTATTACCCTCCATATCCTGCTTTTGGGGAAAATATGCAAGAACTATTGCAATTTTTCAAAGTCTGCATTCTGCATTTCTACAGCCAACCAAAGTGCCCCAAAATTGACAGGGTTCCTTCCTTAATCTGGACTGCTTATAGAAGTTCTGGTTCAGTTTGGAACAACTACAAACTTGGTTCAAAGCAGGCCACTTGAACTTGATGTGGGATCAAGCTGCATTATATCAAACAGGATAATATATTGTAAATAAATCCCTGCTTTTGGGGGTGGGTAATATGTAGGACCTTCATGATATGCAACTTAATTAACATTTATTATTTAATGTGCTGTGTTTCCAGATATTAGTGGCTAGAACTAATGTTTATATGAGTTAGAAAAGGATAGATATTGTTCCAATATGTCCTTATTATGCAATGGACATAGTCATGGATATTTGAGAGATTAAATAAGCTGCTGAACAGACAAACAAAATAAGCCCATCTGTAGAAGCATTGGCTACAGAGAATGGTCATTTTACTGCCAGTACCTTCCAGGGCCTTGAAGCTACAAAACTCAATTTTCCAGTTAAGAAATCATCCTTTCCTAGCATTGGAAAGAGAGATTTTGTGGACTATTTATAGGAACCAATTTGACGCTGTTGTTTTTCAGCTTGAGATTCAAGCCATAAAAGGCCTCAGAATTTCTCAGTATAAGCTCTTAAGGCCTGGTCAGTCATGCCATCAAGTACACCATAGTTTCAGTAACAATCATGAAAGGCCTTCCTTGGTGTAGACTGATTTGCTCAGAGAAATGTGAAGCAAGTAAGTAGAGAGCAAGACAGTGAATGGCTCTGAATAAGTTCTGGGCAAACTGATTAAAAAATGAAGCAAAGATGTAGAAGGAAGTAAAAAAAGGAGTGGAAATAAACATCATTAGCTCAGATGTTTATTGTATCATATGTACATGAATTTGTCTCTCCTATGTATATACAAACACACACACACACACACACACAAAGTTCATGGATAAATTCTGTTAACACATATGGTAGCTAAATGGAAAGCCCATATTTGGAATCAATGTCCTTTAGCATGCCGGATATGTCTCGGGTCAAAGAATATGTGGACATGATTGCCTTTATCTGCTGCACATTGGATTTTTAGAAGCATCTAGGTAGCCACCACCGGAAAGGGAACTAGAAGCATTATTTGATCCTCCTAAACTTCTATTGTGTTTTTGTGAGTATATGTCCGAATCTTTTAAATTAAAAATAAGAGGAAAATGCGGACACAAAAGAGAAGAACAGTTTTAGGGATAACAAGTAGACTCTAGAGTTAGCTGGGTATAATGAGGATACCAGGAAGCAGATGATCCAAAACCTGCATTGGTAAAAGTGGCAAAAAATAAGCATAGTTCACAGTTTGTGTTTGAAGAGTATACTTTATCTAACATATCTTGAAATTTTCATGACAATGTTAAATCTAAAAGGCATATTTCCAGTTTACTAAGCAAGCAGCCAACAGGATAAATATGTCAGTCTTTACATTCATTAGATATCCAGCTGCTGGATGGTAAAACTGTTAAATTTCTAAGTATGGCACTTTAGTATCACAATCTATTCAGTTTAATTGAGCAATGCAGGAATTTCAGCTTGTGCTAATAGAATATGCTTTACCTCAAAACATACGAAGGTCTCAACAAGCAAGGGTAACCAACTGAGTTTGCAAATTCCACAGCATCTTCCTAAAGAATTGGAAAATATACTTTATTTATAATACTGTTAACACTAAACACAACCTTCCCCATCCTGAAGATTTTCATATCACTGCATTTGGATATACTGTATCTGCAGAAAACTTGAGTCCTCCAACATTTTCTACTTCAATGAGGCTCAAACTTATTACTTGCAATTCTGTTAATCATTCTTTCTAACTTTTTAATCAAACTCTCTGACAAGGAGGATGACATGAGAAAAAAAAGTTGCTGAACCATCTTCCTATGCGAAAGGAGGCTTTTTGTTATTTTTTTATACTACAGCAAGGGTCTTCAAACTTGGCCCTTTTATGACTTGTGGACTTCAACTCCCAGAATTCCTCAGCCAGCATGCCTGGCTGAGGAATTCTGGAAATTGAAGTCCACAAGTCATAAAAGGGCCAAGTTTGAAGACCCCTGTACTACAGTATTGCCAAAGAATAAATGCAACCTTTTAATTAAGCAGATAAAAATTAAGTCATGGATACTGGCTTCAACTAGTGATTAAATTCAGATTCCAAATAAATCTACCCACCAAGGAACTGACTGCTTTCCAGGGTGCCTGGGCCACCTGCAACTCATCAAGAACAGCTGAGAATACAGATCTATCTTCTGCACGATCAATCTGCAGTGGATTGGTTCCCATAATTTTAACTCCATTTCTGTAAAGTGGCACAGCTAGGTTATTTGGGATCTGCCCTCCTACAGAGATGATGCAGCCATCACATGCCTAGGAGCAATCCAGAGACAGAATGTTACATGCAACATTTGCTAACAATTGCAGCATTTCATTTCCCCCAACAGTAGGTCTCTCAAAATGTTTGGAAGCAAGGGAAGAAACTCTTCCTGCTTCTGGCAGAATCCTTCACCTCCCTCCACCAAAATCCATCCAAAAGGATTGGGTACTCACTGCAGTTCCATATTTGGTTTATCTAAGCTTTGCAACCAAATGCATGGCGGTAAGGCAATATGATAAAATCTTATTTCATTTTTGAACAGATCCCATTAATAATAGTATTGATAGCTGTTTTTTTTAAGTGCATCCATCCTCATATCCACATAAACCCAGAAGCATCTCTTAATGAAACTAAGATTCATGAATCTCTAGTATATGATCCATCTCTATCTTTTCAGAAAAGCAGCTAGTCTTATTTGCAAATGGCATCCCTTACATAGTCAAGCTAAGAACTCTTCCACTGGTTTCCCTGAAAACAAGGACAAAACTGAGCAGCTATTAGGAACTGCATTGTAACCTTTTAGGATCGCCCAGGTAAGAAACAAGTATAAAGAAACTTTCAGAAACATGGTAATGTTTGTTTGTTTCAGCCAATTTGCATTTTAATAAAATACAACAATCTTCAGCAGTTCTAACAGAACAGACTATCACAAAAAGTCAACACATCTCATGAAGTTATTATAATGCCACACATATATACATGTGTGGCGTCCTTAAGTTTATATTTCGCAGTTGAAAAATTACATCCATATCAACACTATTGTCCTCAAGCATAAAATTAAGCATGTGTGTAATTGCTTTCATTGTCACAGGTTGAAATTAAGCTCAGCAAGGGCAGGACAATTTATGCCATAAATAACTGTGAAATAATTAAATTAGCTTATAAATATTGTGCAATATGTCATCTTTGAAACACAGTTATATATTTATTTGGCATTCATTATTGAACAGTTACTAGGATTAACTATGTGTTGTAAAATATGATGTCAGTATCTAAAACTAGTAACTTTAAGAAATGCCCTGCTAAAGGGGGAAATAAAACTTTGATTTGTGAAATGATTTAGCTTATTTTATGAGGTCTTGATTTTCCTTACGTTGAACATATTTGGACCATTTTTAAAATGAATTACCTCCCGTTGGTAAATGTCCAAGATTCTCTCAAGTGATAGTTCCTCAAAGTAAAGCCTGTCACATTCATCAAAATCGGTGCTCACTGTCTCTGGGTTGCAGTTTACCACAACTGTCTTTTTGGAGAGCTGACGCAAGGTGCGGATGCAAGAAACAGCACACCAGTCAAACTCCACACTACTTCCTGCCAAAAAAAGAGTTGGAGCTTTTAACAAACAACATTAGGCAGGAGGTTTAAAAAGCAACTGCTATGTCAAGGTCAGAAGAAGGAAGTTTGCAGCTGTAACATCATGCCTGCATCCACTGACAATATGTATTACCTTGATAAAAGAAGTGCCTTTGTGAATTTCTGGGTAGTTAATAAATCCACTGAATAGTAGCTTCTTAAAATTAATTTAACATATGATGGGTCAGGCTGCAAGCCATTTATATGTCTTAATAGAAAAGGTTTATCTAAAACCATAGCTAAAACATAATGAATAAATTTATTTTCTGCCCAGGCATTCACCATATTTGTGAAAAATATTTATGGGTTCTGGCCTTACATTTGATCTCCATATTTTTGGTGTAATTTCCAAGTGGGTTTCATATATAGATATATGTACTGTGCACTCAGTTCAGGAAATCAGATATATATTCAGCAGAAGCTGTCCTTCCAAGTATGCGGTAAACGTATCAATGAAATATGAAAGTAGTTTTAGTCATTTCAAATCCCAACTAAATGGTAATGCTAGTTAACATTATTTGAAGTAAATGTTAATGCAATACATATAAATATCAAGTCTGTTAAAGTATAAAGACAGATAAATCAAGAAGGGGGAGGATTGCTATGAAAAGTGAGGAGTAGAGAAGATCCCCTGGCCATTTACTATCAACACATCTTCATAATCCTTAAGATTTATTTCTATACAAGCTTTTTCTGGATGGAAAACTTATTAGAAGTTCTCCATCTGGAAAACAGTTCTTTAATTCTAAAACCTACAAAATGAAATGCTTGAGGATACTGAAATAGCAATTATTTGGCATATCATATTCAAGTACTACAGGAAAAGATATTACACAAGACAGTACCAACTAAAGAAGGTTCTTTAGTTGGAAAAAAAAAGTGAAGAAGCTATAGAAGCAAGATTTACCTATATGATATGGTCCACAGCCCAGCACCATCATTCCATGGTCGTCAAATTTTACATCATGTTCCTAAAATATAACACAGTAAACGAAGTCACCAGAATTATTGTCAGCAGTATCCTTTGGGCTAATGGGAATAAAACATTTCTGGCTCACAGTTCTTAGTCTAAAAATAAAATTGTAAGGGCTTAATTTGATTTTATTTGCTTTACTTTATTTTATTGTTTTTAATATAGGGTCCTTTTAAAGTTGGTATAATCGTGTAAGACACAGTCTAGGGCTTGCTGAAAAATAGTGGCATGAATAATGACCTAGTAAAGGAGTGTTATCATCTTGTAGTATAGTACTGTAGTATTACTATTGACTTGTGGAATACTGGAATCACAAGGAATGCTTGTAGAGGGCACAGCCCAGTGGTGGGATTCAAATATGTGAACAATTGGTTCTCTGTGTGGATGCCGCTTCCAGAAGTCCATTCTGGGCCTGGGCAACAAAAAATTAGCTACCGGTTCTGCCGAAGTAGTGCGAACTGGCTGAATCCCACCACTGGCACAGCCCACGATGAAGCAGAACCCTGGGGTTATGATGTTGTTAATCACTTTGTTGCTGAATTTAGGGTTATTGAAGGGGACCATACTTAAAAATTCTCATGGATGGGAGATACTAAAATTCAGCTTGTTTCTTGGAGTAGCTGAGATTTGATTAAGGTATTCATATGACACCCATGATTCAGTTCAATGTCTGTAGTGTGAACAGGGCCTACAGCATATATAACTGTGTCTAAGTTAGTACCATAGTAGTAGGCTATTCTGATCAGGTAATGTTATTTTTTTTAATCCCAAATTTCTAGTCAGAAGTAATAGTCTTCACATACTCATTGGAGATTAAAATGAGCCAGGAGCAGTTCCTTATTGTAGCTCTTTGTCAGAATGCCAGAAATGGGGGGAGGGGTTAAACAATGTCTAGCCTGAGGTCTTGTTTGGGTGATAACCAGAGCCTAAAAGTAACCTAACCTGAAATAAACCATAATCTGTTACTATGATCTTCACCATAACACAATAATGATCACACATTAAGTCCACTGAGGCAACTAAACGTACATGTAGATTAAGAGCATATAGAATTGCAGGCTAAATATTTGATTGTCATTGCCTGCTGAACTCTTTCTGAACTCCACTGCCACAGACTTATGGGACGTCCCATACTAACTGATTTCCATTTCATCTGGCCTTGACTCAGACTAATGACTGTTCAGCCTACAAAATATTGCATAAAAAGTTAATTATCTCTGCCATGTTTGGCTGAAAGTCTATCGTGATTCATCTTGCTATCTTTGATGCTATCATTCTCCAGTACTTTATGCCCTACCTTCTCAGCTTCTTTAGCTAAGAATGGTCTCCATTCTTCTTTTTGCTTTTACTGTTCAGTTGCCTTTCCCTCAAATAATTAATTACTGGTCTGCAACTCTTTCAAACATAAATCCCAGATTGATTTGGCATTACAGTTCTCTAGTATTTTTGTGGATGCCTAATGACTCAGTGGCATGCTAGCAGAAGGATAATACTGGGAAATAATACTTCCCACAGAATCTTTATTAAAGAAGTTAGCTCATCTCCTCAGCCAAACTCTGTCATTCGCTCAATAACCATTCTGCTGCATTCCTCCAGTGCTTCCAAATTCTTGAAGCAATCATCCTCATCAAAATCATTTGTACAAAGGCCAAGAGAATTAGGTTTTTTTTTCACTATACAATTTATTGTCAATAACCAGCATGAAATGAGATGGGACAGTTTCATCCATTGCACTTGCAACATATTGGACTCCACAAATTTATTTAGCAGCAAGAGGTTAAATTTCCCAAAGAAAAGAAACTTCCACAGTGCAAACTGGCAAGTAAAACTTATATCTCTGGGACCCTTGGATGTAAGCCACCCAGAGCCACTTTGAAACGTGATGGGTGGCAAATAAATTTTATAAATAACTAAATCATCCTCCTCCTCTTTGGCCATCTGCAGCAGAGAAAGGTGTATATTATTGTAGTCCTTCACAGAAGATAAAACTGTGGTGCTCTGGGTAAATTCTCATTCCTTATCTGTCTACTATTCTGGTTCAAAAAGACTTTAAAGCCCCCAGCTATATTTTTACTTGCTCAGTAAAAATAATAGAAAAGATTTCCACCTGTACTCCAATGGGATTATGCCTCTGCCAACTGCTGTAAACTATAACTCCCTACAGAGTGAGTGAATTTGAGTTGCAAGGTCAATAGATATTAATGGGAGAAAATACATCATAATACACAATAGTGTAACCTAGTAAATGACAGCACTTACCTGACCATTGTAAGTGACATAGAGGTAATTAGTTACAGCAGGGTATTCTCCTGCCAGCGTATCAATCTATAAAAGAGAGGAGAATTGTCAGTATGAAAACAACTATTTGTCAGGCTCATGCAGTACCATTCCTTGCTTGTCCTGTTTCTCTTCAGGGCGTGTGTGTGTGTGTGTGTGTGTGTGTGTGTGTGTGTGTGTGTGTGTGTGTTACTTTTCTGTTCAAGTACTTACTGACACAATACAAGCAACCATCAGTCAAATGTTATTTTAATTTACTAATTTCAACTTAAGCACTAACTGAAATTCATTGCCTCCTTGCTGATGCCTACATACACTAATATGTATGCACAAGAGGCTTTGGAGACCACCAAGGTTTGGCCAAGAACAAAGAGTCTTCAAAGAATAAAACTAGAGGAATCAATCAAATTTATTGTCTAATGTGGATGGAGAGTGAACCATAAACCTGGAATGTGGTTGGTTGGCCCTCCACCACACAGTAACACTGGTCTCATTTTAAATCAAAACTAAAAGAAATCCTAGATTGTTTTTCTGCAGAAAAAATGTGTAAGATTAACCATCCATCATCCTTCTGCTTTATTTATTTAATACATTTCAGGCAACAGAATACCCCCACACACACAGTGCATATCTTTCATTTTGCAGAGTGAGGAGTTCTTCTGCTTCTCAAATGGTAATGTCATGCTTAATAGTTATGGAGGAAACTTTCAAATTCTTTTCTTGATATCTGGATTAAAAGTTTCAAAAGTCTACATGATTCTGTTGTGTGCAGACTTAACCTAATAAGCTACTTTTTTGCCAGATGTGGATAAACACATTCCTAATTTCTCAAAAGGGAGTCCCACTTTATTCAATGGGGTTTGCTCTCAGGTAAGGTGAGCAAAGCTAATGCTCAGCAGTAAAGGTGTTTTAACATTAAACCTATGCCATGATTAGCTGCAACTACAGCTTGTTATTCATGTGTCCATATCAACTTTTGACCTTTTATATACACAGGCAGAATTAAATTATTGTCTCTCCTTGGAATTGTTAGTAATTTGGTCTTATATTGTCTAGGGGATGGCTCCTCCTATATTATTTCTCAGGTTTCTAAATTTCTTTTAAGAGCTGTAACTATTAGAGGAGAACATTGTAATTCTCTTTAGCCAAGGCTTCTGGTGTTTAATTGTTTGTGATTATATTTTTCTTGTGTTTTCTTTTGTTGCGCTTGCATTTGGTCTGTGACCACAAAATAAAAATTAATTAATTAATATACATCTTTCTGAATTAGAGCATAGAACACAATTTGAGCCTGTAGTAAAAAAAATATCTTGTTCTGACTCTATAGATTTCCTTTTTAATTATCTTTTGGTTCCTCTCTCCCCGCCCCACAGACATACACCACAGAGAGACAGAGAGACTTGTCAAAGGATAAATTGATGCTTGTCATTCAAGGAACACTGTACGGTCACCAATGCTGCAAAGCCAGAGCACCACAAAAATTTTCATGCTTGCCTTAATGGGATCAGAATGTAATGGAAGTGAAGCAAGAAAGGGGACAGTATTTGGACAACAAGCTTTTAGGTGTACATAGATTCACCAATAACTTCAAGAGAAGCCAATGATCTCTTAAAAAGAAGGAGAAAAGCACATAAAACATTCATTTCAGTATCCCTTAACTGAACAACAATATGAACACATTTGAAAGCAACTATGGGACTGTCACAAATAGCTGAGAAACATATTACACAACCATAATAAATTCTGAATGAACCTGTAATGATGGAACACTTAAAATACTGTTCTACAGAATGATAGGCAAATGGAGTTACACATATTACGGTCACAAAGAAAAGTGGATCATCTTTTTTACTTCACTTTAAAACCAAAGCAGAGGAAATGGCTCAGTTCAGAGTAAGATGGAGAAGCAGATCTTCCTTTCATTAAGTGAAAATTATTTAATGTTAATTTTTATTTTAACAATGACTGATGCTCGGATATTAAACAATGTAGAGAGACAGCTGGCTATCTTGGAAAAATCGCTTGGTGACAAGAAGTGACAGGAGACAAATCCTATAGATCACATGTTTGGCTTCTAAGGCTAACAAATGTAGTCTTCAAAATATTGAGTTGTATTTGTTTTATTGTATAGCAGGCCAGATGACCATTTATGGCTATGTACTGCTCGGTGTGCCCAAGATTGAAGGCTGGTTTAAAAAAAAATTAGATCAGTTGCTAAATCACAGAACACCTACTTGGGATGCTTCAGCTATTTCCAGTCATGCATTATTTCACCTATTTCCAGTTTGAATCAGGGAAGTCATTATCTAAGAAAGACTTCTGTTGCTGAAAATAAAGGCTAGACCTGCTGGGTAAATGTAAAGGTTCCCCCAAGCACATTGAACAGATGTGCTCATACAGTTTTCTTGGCAACAATATGGAAGTTGTTTGCCATTTCCTCCTTCCCAGGGTGTTTTTGTAACTTCCCAAAATAGCCAACAGCTCTTAATTGTCTCACATCCACTAGAAAGCAGGCCAGACCCTGCTTGGCTTTAGCACTGGACGAAGTCAGTCAGGAAGCTGGCTTGCTGGATAGATGTGAAACATTTTGACCTTGAAAAGGACTCGTGGCATTCAGAACTCAAAACAGGCTATTACAAGTACACCAAAAGTGGTCCGACTTCAAAATGAGCCCTGAGTGTTTCAGCAATGGTAGATTTTTACCAGAACTTTCAGAACAGGCCTTTCAAAGGTCAGAAGTGAAGTCAGACTGATTCTGGAACACTTAATATCCTACCCTTTATCAAAGTTAGGACATTCCATGACAGAATGTTTCTATTAACTGGGCTTTGGGGGGGGGGGTCATACCTTTTGTAGGATGTAGACCTACCACTATAGCTCTTCTCTCTCTCTCTCTCTTTCAGCCTAAATGTTTCTAGATAAACGGACTTAGTGAAATCACAAGTTAGCATGTCAATGAACATTGTTAATACTAAAGAAAACTAATTATGAAAACATGGACTAGATCTGACTAATCAGGGAATTTTGAAGTGAAACAGTTCCTTGTGGTAGAAGTAGCCAATGATGAAATGTGAACCTTATTAAAAGAAGACGAAGAGGAATCAAAACTTTATATGGCAAGAAAAAAGTCAGAAAAATTGAAGCAGGAATTAGCTGGTGAATGTTTCTACTAGGAAAAAAGGCACAGGACTATAAGCAGTTTATATATTTGTTATTTTAAGTATCAGTTAACACTATGCAGTGGACAATTTCAATTTGGTTTACCAAAAATAAATAACTGCAACTGAACTGATCTGGTCTTCAGTCTCATTAACCATAGACAGTGGGGTACATTGATAGAAAAGTTTAAATCCTATTTAAGTCTGTGTGATTCCTGGATGGCCTCAAGCAAATAACAGAATAGAACATAATAACTGAGTTGGAAAGAATCTTGGAGATCTTCTAGTTCAACCTCCTGCTCTAGCAGGTGACTCTATACCATTCCAGACAATGGCTGTCCAGTCTCTTCTTTAAAATCTTCAGTGATGGAGCCCCCACAACTTCTGAAGGCGAGCTGTTTCACTGGTTAATTGTTCTTACTATCAGAAAATTTCTCCTTAGTTCTAGGTTGCTTCTCTCCTTGATTAGTTTTCATCCATTGCTTTTTGTCCTGCCTTCTGATGCTTTGGAAAATAAGTTGACCCCCTCTTTTTTGTGGCAGCCCTCATATATTGGAACAGTGCTATCATGTCACCCCTAGTCCTTCTTTTTACTAGACTAGTAAATCCAATTCCTGCAAATGTTCTTCATATGTTTTAGCCTTCAGCTCCCTAATCATCGTTGTTGCTCTTCTCCGCACTCTTTCCAGAATCTTAACATCTTTTTTTATATTGTGGCGACTAAAACTGGATGCAATATCCCAAGTGTGGTCTTACCAAGGCATTGTAAAACAGCACTAACACTTCATGTGATCTTGATTCTATCCCTCTATTAATACACCCTAGCATTGTATTNTGGAACAGATGAGTTTTCAGGGCTCTGCGGAAGAGGCGCAGGTCCGCAATTGTACGTAGGTCGGGGGGCAGGTCATTCCAGAGGGCAGGAGCTGCCACAGAGAAGGCTCTCCCCCTGGGGGTCGCCAGCCGGCATTGGCTGGCCGACGGTACCCTAAGGAGGCCCTCTCTGTGGGAGCGGACTGGTCGAAGGGAGATATGTGGTAGGAGGCGGTCTTGCAAATACCTAGGTTCATTGCCATGGAGCGCTTTAAAAGTTGTTACTAACACCTTGAAGCGCACCCGGAAGGCCACCGGCAGCCAGTGCAGCTCGCGCAGGAGAGGTGTTACATGGGAGCATCTAGAGACCCCCAAAATCCCCCGCGCAGCCGCATTCTGAACTAGCTGGAGCCTCCAGGTGCACCTCAAGGGGAGCCCCATGTAGAGAGCATTGCAATAGTCCAGGCGGGAAACGAGGGCTTGAGTGACCGTGCGTAGGGCGTCCCGATCCAGAAAGCCACTTTAGTGGCTTTCTTTTTTTAACAAATTCATCAGTGTTCTATTTTTTTCTCACACTTGACAACTGCTTGGTTTTTAACTCAGCTCAATTGCAAACTAAATGAAAAAGTACTACAAGAACTGATCACTGTATTTTTCTTGGAACATTTAGAAAAAAATAGCATTTTAAACAGTAGATTTATTTTTTTAAAAAAAATCCAGTAAATAGCTCAGGGAAATAAAAAGGTAACAACAACAACAAATCTTGGAGGGCACTTGGATAATATTCACATTGAGAAAATTCCCACCTATCAATGCCAAAAGCCACATTTCTTGGATCTACACATATACTACACCAATACATTACAACATCCTAGGTGTTAGGGAGACCTTGATGTGTATGAAGGCCAAATCAGCTGAAGAACTAGTAGCTGTGATTTCACAATTTTTTATGTAATAATAGTAGGAAGACCGATTTGAATGTAGCTTTGATTGATTACAGGAAGGCATTTGACTCCCTGCCATTTGACTAAATAATCAAGTGCCTAGAACTAACAGGAGTCAGTAAAAACTTTGCACAGAAGCTTTGTGTAAAGATTGATGGCACAATGGAAGACACGGAGTGGGTCAGTAGTCACTGGGAGAGGTTAATATCAAGAAAGGAATCCTTCAAGGAGACTCATCATCACTACTACTGTTTGTTGCTGTACTGATTCATTTGTCAACAATACTGAACAAATCAGACCATGGCCATCAAATATCAAAAACATCTGCCAGGCTATTCCATTTCCTTTTACATGAACAATTTGAAGCTGTATGGAAAAATCACCATTTGAAACACAATTGCTGCTCAACAGTGTCCATATATGCAGTCAAGATATTTCAGTGGAATTTGGACTGGACAAATGTATGACCAAAACAGAACTAAAAGCCCTGGTTAGGAAGACCAGAAAAATAATGACAAAAAAAAAGTCATGGGCTTCATCCATACAGCAATGTTGACAAACTCTATTCGCCATAAATGTGCATGGAATGTTGCAAGTACACCAGACAATTGAAGAAAAAAAATTCAGAAATATATCTGTGGTGCACTGAAGCTAATATATGCCTAAGGCTTACTGAATATTGGATAGACCAAACTGGCCTACAAGAAAGACCAAATGAAGAAAAGAGACATGGCCAAGCAAGGTATTACATGGCCAGTACACACACAGAGAGACACACATACACACATACCAGCAGCCAATGCAGATAATAACAAGATCTGGCAATGACTAACAGCAGGAAACTTGAAGAAAGAGGTGTTAATTCTGGCCACACAGGATCAAGGCTTAAGAACAAAGCCAGAACTGGGAAGATAACAACAGACAGCAAATGTCACAAGTTGAACTGTGCATGCAGGTCCACTGGCCCGCCGTTTGTGCAGGTCCACTGGCCTGCTGCTTATGCGAATGCATGCTGGCCCACCGCTCACGTGGCCCAGTTGTGAATAGGCCACAGCCCAGTAGTGGGCCATGGTCCAGGAGTTGTGACCTCTGTGCTAGAGGTTGCATTCAATATGCTGGAGATGAGTAGAGCATGTCATCTTCCATTTTTCCTCTCCAGAAATTGTTGTGGCCTATTCTCACAACAGGTCAATTTGGCAATATGGGTACACCCTGTGCAACCAGGTTCTTGTGAATAGGAACACTGTTCTTGAGAGATGAAAAATTAACAATGTCAATGATTATCAAATATACGTACTTCCAGTTGGTATTATATCTTCAGTGTTTACAACAAAATAGCAATAATAGCAGCAGCTAATGGGTATGCATTTATACCTGTTTCACCCAAGGGGTTATGTTCTTCTTGATTCTCAGTTCCCTGCTCTGAGTTTCACTCAGTCCCAGACATTTCCCAATCTGCTTATCTGAGAAGCCGATCTGCTTGGCTCTCCTCAGGCTTTCTTCTGGAACAGAGTCACTGTAATCAACATAAAACATAAAAAAGAATGCATAATGGATACAGGTTTCATGTTCTGCTCCTATATTTTTCAGCCCCAGGGGAGGATGAAATGTACATGGAATAAAGTGAAAAGCAGAAAAAATGGGGGCGGGGAACCAAACTCAAATCTTTCCTTATTAATACATCCAATCCACTCTCTTAAGCTGCTGAGTGCTTAAAATATTGCTTTTTCCTTGGAGAAAGTATGTGATCCAGAACAATAATTGGCTGCTAACCCAATTATCTGGGATACAAACAGTTTTCTCTGAGGTCAGGTCTGACATGTAGCTTGCCAAGAGATTCAAAACTACTTCCTTGGGTACCTCTCACAAGTAAGCAATTCTGGAAGGAATTCTTCCACTGTTATATTATACTCTTTAATTCCAAAAATGCAGAGATTATATTTACTATCCATTTTAATAATTTATTAATCAAGACAAAGCTTTAAAAAGCATCATAAAACATTAAACATTATACACTACACAATTCAGTTTGTATTCTTAAAATAAAAGCAAAAATGGTGGATATACCCAATAGTTATCTCATACCTAATCTCTTTTAAATATTCCTAATCGATTTATTCTATCTGAGTTTATTAAATCCTGTTCTTCTCTCACAAGTTCTCTTTCCACCAGCAACTTTTACCTGCAATATAAGGACAATTTGCGTATTCACCAACATATTAATACTGTATGCTAATCAAATCAGTTTATTATATAGTAGGCCTATGAAAACCTCTGAAATTATTTCTTTAATAATATTGCACCAATCAAGATTTCCACCTTCTCATACTTTCTGCCTGAAATAATTGCTAAATTTAAATTGTCATTTTAAGTTACCAATTTCAAGTATGCACAGCTGTTCCATTGTGAAGCAACTGGAAAAGTAAAATAGCAGTTTCAGGGTGATGAAAGAGCTTGCAGGTGTGTTTTTAAAGACACTGTTTATAATTTTTAAGAAATCTTGTAGAACAGATAAAGTGTAAGAATAACGGTGGAGACAGATACTTTCTGTTTCTATCCTCAAAAAAAAGAGAGAAACTATAAATGAGGCATTATTTTAGAACTAATTATTAAGCAGTATGTCTGCAATTGTCTAGAAAACAATTCATTGATTACTGGAAGCCAGAGAAATGTATTAGGAATAAATCATGCAGATCACATGCGTATATAAATCAATTTAGATTTACTAATATAGTAAATCATGGGCATGAGTTCATGATTTACTATAAAGTTTTTCTTGATATCCTTATAGACAAGACAGTAAAATATACATTTAAGAAATAAATTCTGGATCAAGAGCTAGTTAAGGAAGTGTTTTCTATCAGTTCTAGTTAATGGATCTATGTTATCATGAAAGAAAATCTTCAGTAGAATATGGCAGCATTTTGCTCTGAAGCCTGTGCTATTCAGTATTTTATAAATGTTCTTAACAGGTATAGCAGATAATATAACTCTAATCTCACCTCAGATCAGAAGCTAAGTAGGGTCAGCCAGTTTAGGACTTCAGCCAAAAAATGTCAGGGCTCAGGCTAGATATCGGTAGGAAAGTTAAGTGAGGGAGTCAGTCATAGGGTACAAGAAATCATAACCATGAGAGAGAATTTCCTTGGCAGCACTACCTGTGATTTGATCCAAGTAATGGAAGATAATCTGAATTTGAGCAAACAGTGAGACAAGGCTGCTAAAAAAGATCACGTAGTCTTGGTTTCATTCACAATAGCATCATTTCCCGGACTTCTCCTGCTCTTTTCTATTAGACAAGCTACACTGAAATTCATTGTCAACTTCTGAGTTCCACATCTTAAGAAAAATATTAACCACAGAAGCATCCAGGGAAAAGAAATCAGAATGGGGGGGGGGGAGTTGAGATGGGCTGCAAACAATGTTGACATGAAATATTAAAACTTGATTTGTTTGGCCTCAAAGATATCAAAGAAAAACTAGAGAAGACTCTTCAAATATCAGAAATTGAGAATTGTTCTCTGTTTATCCCCTGTTTTGCTTTGCTTTGCTTTGCTTTGCTTTGGAGCTACATTTTAACAAAAGAAAAAGAGAAAAAAGCTTGCATAGATTTTGAGCTCTTTTGCTTCTTGTACTTCTTGTTAAGAAGATCCTTGCTTAGAAATTTAACTTTCAAATAAATAGGCTTCACCACTTACAATTTCTCTCTCCTTTAGATCTATGATAAGGAGCTTGAAAAGCTTGTGAAAGCCTTTGGTAAGATTTTCCTACACATACAATAAAGAAAAATGACTTTCTTTATAAAGTTGTAGACATTTGGTAATGCGTAAAACAATTTGTAAGTGGCTTAAGCAGGAGTAGAAGCATGAAAATAAAACCATGCAGGCATTGCAAGATGACCTCGGAGGAAAAGGTGACAACAGAAACCAGCCTATTGTCTTTTCTTTGGTGTGAAGGAAGTGCAAGTCATCTTTTGCACTAGTAAACTAGGTAAAGTTGGAAGATGTGCAATCTCACTCATACTTCTAAGAAAGTCTCACTTAATTCAGACAATTCAGATAATACAGAGTAACATGCTTAGAAATATCCTCCCCTCCCTGTCACTGTTTTCTGTATTTTAGTAAGAATGTGCCTCAATGAAAACAATTGATACATATACTGATTGGCACTGGATACTGATTCAAATATACTATTTCAAGTTCAATTCCCCAAGTGTTGATCACTAAAGTATAATTTAAAAACTTACATCATCATCATCATCATCATCATCATCAGTAGTAGTAGTAGTAGTAGTAGTAGTAGTAGTAGTAGTAGTAGTAGTAGTATTTATTAATTGTTTATACCGCCCATTTCTGCTACAAGGTGACTCTGGGTGGCTTTATATTATAAGTAAGATACAATGACAATTTGCAAATGAATAAAATAAAAAACAAAACAATATATCAATTGGTCACCACTAGCTGTTAAGGTACGTTCAAAGTTCATTATGATGTATTGCTTAAGTATGGTCTCAGGACACATGGGCTTGTGCTCCTGTCTTTTTGCTGCCTCAAAAACATTCTCAAGAATAAAACACTTTCCATGCAAGAGAAGTTTCATTTACTATACACTACCTGTACACACTACCTGTAATGAATGTCCCAAAGGTGCTTATTTTTGCAAAAGGCAACTGGACTTTGTTTTTCCTTGAAGATGTTTCACTTTTCATCCAAGAAGCTTTTTCAGTTCTGACTTGGATGAGAAGTAAAACATCTTCAAGGAAAAACAAAGTCCAGCTGCCTTTGGGGGAAAAAAACACCTTTGGGACAACCATGACCTAGATGACTGAGAATCTCCATAGACATATACCTGTAATGAAATGCATATTGTGATATCCCAATACTAATCACATGTCTTCCATACTTGTGTCCAATATTATGACCCAAGTGCAAGTAATCCTCAATTTACAACCATTCATTTAGTGACTGATCAAAATTATAACAGCACTGAAGAAAGTTATTTATGACCATTTTTCACATTTACAACTGTGGCAGCATCCACATGGTCACATGATTAAAATTCAGATGCTTGCCAACTGGTTTATATTTATCATGATTGCAGTGTCCCAGAGTCATGTGATTATCTTTTGTAACCATCTGACAAGTACATTCAATTGGGAAGCTAGATTCACTTAACAACCATGTTGCTAACTTAACAACTGTGGCAAGAAAGATTGTAAAATGGGACAAAAATCACTTACTGTAACAACTGTCTCCCTTAGCCACAGAAATTTTGGGCTCAATTATGGACTTAGTTTCTAATTTGACATCACTGTTGACAAAGATCAGAATTACTGTATCTGGGACACAAACAACTTTCTGCACAGTCATATCACAGTTCCATCTACCTCAGAATGCCCTCTATTGAGGATGGGAAATGATAGAACTAAGTACACTGGAAAGTTTGATTTGAAAGAGGTCAGCATTAAAGAATTTTTAATGTATCTATGTACTTAGTCATAGGATTTCTAGGCTACTCCAATCAACCAACTGTGAGCAACAGGCTACACCTCCCACTTCCAATCCCTATTTTGGTTAAATTGATGGATAAATATTCACAACTAAAACTAAAAGTATTAAATTAGAACAATGAACTACATATGGTGTAATAGGAACACATAAAGATCAGAAATTAACATTCTAAACACAAATACTTTTTGGTGCTTCATTGTTTAATAGTAGGAGCAACAAAATTGCAACCCCACTGCTCCCAATTATTTTGAAAGTCTGCTTACTGAGGATTATAACTTCTACTTAGATCTAATATACAAAGTAAATCCCAGGCCTCAAAAGTTTAAGTGTAATTTTAAGTATATCCCTTTTGCACCAGACTTCAATTGGTGAATCCCTTAATTTTAATTAAAAAGTAGACCTCACAAGCCTTAGTTTACATTATCTAGCACCAGATCTGATACCGTATAGACCCCTGGTCATTCTGAGAAGTGCCAAAGAATGGAACAAAGTGTGTAAAAAGCTCATTGCCTCAGTAGATATTTTTCAACTGTATTTCTTTTGTTTTAATACAATGCCAGAATCCAAATTAAAGTGAAATAGATGTTTGAGAAGCAATCCAAAAGCTCTTCAAAGTTTCAGGCAGCGGGTTTTCTGATCACATGTCCTTTTCATTGTTGAAGATACCATAGACTTAACTGGAAATTATTTGCTTGGAGCAGGCAAGTGCTGTGCACTTCCTAAATATTGTTCTGTGATGCAGATGGATCAAGCTGACCAAACTTGGAATTCAATTGGCATAACATGAGTGCAAACATTTTACATAGCAATATGCTCTCTACATCTTTATAAACATGCAGGTATGTTCACTGTCTTAATAAGGCTAAATTCACTTTTCCATCTTGTAACTGATTGAAACGTTTATAATGCTAAGAGGCAGTGATCAATATGCTCTGCATCATTTTGTTTTCTATATTTGCTTACCCAACAGGACAGTATGAAGTTTAGGCTAAAAAAAGGTGCCCTT